TCTTTCTTTTTAGATATTTATGTAACTCATGATATTACAGGCAGGATTCGTTAAACAAATTTCCTCAAAACCTTTCATTCAGCCTAATGATTGCAGATACACTAATGAGCAAAAACATTATGACCAGCGACAGGTGTTAGCTATTGTCTCGTAACCAGTCGGTATGTCAAGGTTAAAGATATATAAGCAGGTACGCCGGCTTTGAGTGCATCATTTTAATGTATTTAACGCTGTAGCTATAAGCAAGAAAAACGATTATTATGGGTTTGACAAAGAGCAAAATTTAATGACAAAAACTCGAGGTAAAGCATTTCTTATACGATATAGCTCGTGCGGTGATCACATTTAGTTGTAGCCAATACCTATGGTAGTTCTGATAACCAATACACCATGCGCACATCGTTTTTATATATATATATATATATATATATATATATATATATATATATATATATATATATATATTATCGATTGTCAAGATGCTAATAATGATGATGTGCTTCTAGGTATTAATAATATATGGCGCCAGTAAAGTAGATAAATCGGAGTTATTTATCTACCTTTCTGATGTTATCTATTATTAATAACCATTTTCTAAAATTGTATTCATTCATTAAATATGAATCCATTGCTATTACTAGATACATTGGCACACACACAGACACACACACACATATATATATACACACACCCGTTACTGGTGCGCGTTGTTGTAAAACGTTGCTGGTATGACTTTCAACATTCAAATGTACTGAATTTAAATTTTAAATAAAATATAAAAAAGTCTTTTAAAACATTGTGTTGCTAAAATATATTTCATTTTCTTTCCTTTTTTTGTTTTCTTCACAGACTTGAAGATGACACATATGAGTCGAAATCTTGGAACTAAGATAAATTTCGAGTATTTTACCTCTAAAACGGAGACGCTTGCAGAAGATGGTTCGCAGTTTAGAAAAGAAAGGATAAATAAGTATAATAGGCATAAAATATCTGTTTCTTTTAATAAAACTTTTAGTTACAATATATATATATATATATATATATATATATATATATATATATATATATATATAGGGTGTTTTATCATTAATACAGATTATATATAAGGGTGTTTCATTAAGACGGATCAAAGTCAGCAGTAAATAATTTAATGTTATTGTTGAAAATTTATGTCTCTATGGATCATGTTATTTAAGTCATGGCAATTATGTAAGAAAAGTAATATCGCCCAAATATCCGCCAAATCTGAAAGAAAAAAAAATCATTATGCGCTTAAACTTAATTCACTTTTGGTCCAAGTTATTGGAACACACTTTATATTATATCAAAACCTTTTTATTCTTTAAAGTTCAGAATGAAGTCTCCTTTGCATTCTTCAGAGCGTTCTTGCCTGTAAAATGTTGCGTAGAATATAAATGTTCACTGCATTCCAGTTCGTGCATTTTTATAGTAGCCACCAAACAAATCCATGTAGAAAGGAACCTGCCTGTTTTCAATGTTCTGCCATGACATTAGGTTAGACCGACCTTCACTAGTTACTCTTTCTTTGACGAACTGTCACATTGTCAAATACACCTCTGGGGGATTGACGTCGTCTTTATTCTGAATGAATTGACATATCGCGAAAATCATCTAAAATATGGAAATGGTTCAGGAATAAATTTATATTCTAGTTTACATAATTATGGCTTTCAGGATTATGATTACAAACTTGAATTCTGTTGATTTCTTGTTATATTTATACGTGGGACATTTAGTGCCTATTGTAATAATTCATTTTGAAGCTTCATGCCACAGTATATGAATCTAGCTTTCATTACAGTAAACGTTATATTTTTTTAATCATTTCACCCCAAGAAAGTCAATAAAGCCACCAAGCCGTAAGGAGTTACCGAGCGCAAAAAATACGAGAAAAAGAACATTATTAAAAAGTGAGAACAATAAAAGAACAAGAATTAAGAAGACAGAAATTTTGAAGATCAAAGTTGACGGGAAAGCATGAGACCGGAAAAGAGTTCCATAACCACGAAGTGAAGAGAGAAAAAACTATTAGCATAGAACATACGATTACATCTAACCATTTCAACTATAACATGATGCGATCTAGCTGCTAATCTAGTCCTGCACTTAAATTCGTAAAGTTGAGGCATCAAAGAGGAAATCTAATCAATAAAATTACACTGAAAATATCTATAGAAGCGGTACATAGAAGCTACATTATGGTGGTGGGAAAGTATTTGAAACCGAGATGCCAGTTCAGGATGGATAACAGTGCAGATTCTTCCTTGGAGTTAATCAAGAATCTCCAAATGCATAACAATAGTACCAGAGCAAGTGTAACAGAAATATACAATCTATGGACGAATGATGGACTTAAAAATGTGTATTTTAGACATTTAATGGATGCAAATGTTTGACTAAACAATAATTTTATTAAACGACCTAGACAATCGAAAGTCTTAATAAAAAAAAATGTCTTTCGGCAGGAACACAACACGAACCTGTGAAATACTTATATTGGAAAAATCACGTTGAATCTACGAAATGCTTCCCAGTTAAGTAAAACTCAATTACTTACTTCTCT